AAGTCACTTTTGATCATCACTCATCCCAACCATTTCTCACTCCCTAAAGGCAACCATTATCGTGAATTTCATGTGAATCCTTTCTATTTTTTAGTATTTTATTTTCCATGTAAATGACTTCAAATAATATATTTGAAATTTTTATATATTTTCTAATATTTTAAAATAATTCCACATTCTTTTTTTATTCTGAAAATATTAATTTTCCAAATGGAGATAACAGGTTAGGAGTTACCAAAGTTATTTCCATTAAAAAAAAAAGTTCCAAACTTTTTTTTTTTTTTGAGACAGGGTCTCACTCTGTCTCCCAGGCTGGACTGCAGTGGTGCAATCTTGGCTCACTGCAACTTCCACCTCCCAGGTTCAAGTGATTCTCCCACCTCAACCTCCCAAGTGGCTGGGAGTACAGGCATGCGCCACCACGCCTAGCTAATTTTTGTATTTTTAGTAGACAAAGGGTTTCATCATGTTGGCCAGGTGGGTCTCAAACTCCTGGCCTCAAGTGATCCAACCCCCTCGGCCTCCCAAAGTGCTGGGATTACAGGCGTCTAGCTATGTTCCAAACTTGTGGAAACTTCCTTTTTTTCCTTCTTCCTTCTCTTAAACTAACTAACATGAAGAAAACAGTTTACCAACACTGAATTTTTTTCATAGAAATCCAAATACTCACAGGTTTTAAGTGGATAACAGAACTGTTAGACATGACTGTGTGGTCTCCCTCCATCATGTCTAGCTCACTCTTGTCATCTGAGACATCTGGAAGACTGTTAACACTACTGCTTTGGCTGCTGGCACTGATGGACATACTGGGAATAGACTGATTACTTCCAACACTATTCACTGTTCCTGTCCGGCCAACACCATGATCTTGTTCCTAAGAGAAAAGAAGATTCAGATTCAGTTCAAATATTTATATCTCTTCTGAATTCTTGATTATAAGCACCTAGCACAGTATTCGGCACAGAGTCTCATTAGAAAGTTGGTCTATCATGAGAAATTCCTTTTATTTTCCAAGACCAGAAAGTTTATCAACCATTAGTTTATTGAAAAACAAAACCGACCAACAAGTAAATAACAAAAAACTCAACGAATTGTCTACAACAAAGTCAGCTGACCAGTTTTGGGTGATTTTCAAAGTATAATATTTTCTCTCAATTGCTCGACTTTTTTAGTAACCATTTCTACAATATATCTCATGGGGTATATATAGAGATCCTGCTCATTTCTCAATAATTTTTGGTTAATACAAATCCTCCTTAAAAAAAAAAAAGTACTGGTTATTTTGGGCACACTGCCTATTCAGTAGCCCTGCTCCATAAGGAGCATTAAAAAAAAAAAAAAATTACTAAAAACCCCATTGTAGCTGTTATTCTTCCTTAATGAATCAGCCTTTTACAAGTAGATTCTTTATTCCTGAAAACATAGTCTCTAGATTACCTGTCTTGTCTTTCGTTATTTTTTCTTGCATTTCAATAGGTTTTGGGGGGACTTTAGATTATCTTTTTACCACCAAATAATTTAACATTAATTCCTAACTATTCTTGTGTAAACTAACAATTACACATTATATTATTTCAAATGACAATCATAAGAAAACAGGTGGCCTGTAGTATCTGGGCACCAACATTACAGTAGTCTTACCATACTAGAATTCTGTAAGATATGCAGAATTTAATAAACTACAGACATATATATAAATAGGGATATTTCTTATATCCCTAGCCTAACAGAGATATTGTTAATGATTTAACTACATAGAATTTTATTCATTTCACAACTTTATTAAAGTATTTCACATATCTGAAATAATCCCAATTTTCTAGTGACTATCATTAAGAACTAAAAAAAAAATTCCCAAACCAAAAATTTTAAGTTTAAAAAGTCTTACATTTGACTGTTTGTTAATTATTTAGTGATATTAAAAAAAAAAAAAAAAAGAAACTATTGTTCATGGTTTCAGAATGCAAAGTGATCTCTCTCAATGGAAAGCAAAAGAAAAGAATAAAATTTTTTGGAATTCTGACAGGGGCAAAGAAGAAACAAAATATTTAGAGAAAACAATAGCTTTACACATAATATACTTTATATGTATATTTCTTCATGAGGAAGTTTGTAACACTTCTATAGCAAATCTGCATTTCCATTCTCCCTAAGAGGTAACACAGGAAGAACTTGGCCTTAAGAGTAAAAGAGGTGGCCGGGCGCGGTGGCTCACGCCTGTAATCCCAGCACTTTGGGAGGCCGAGGTGGGTGGATCACGAGGTCAAGAGATCGAGACCATCTTGGTCAACATGGTGAAACCC